TCATTGGAACACCATAATTTTAAAACTCGCAAACCATTATCTTATGATTACTAACTAGGTAATTGCAACTGTAAATGCTGAATTCATGGTGACAATAATACCGGTAATTCACTGTATATCTGAGAACTGATCAGTTATAATAAGGCGTGTCCAGATAGGGCCACTTGCTAAAGCTCAATAGCACTTTCATAAAAGCGTGCCATCTTACCGACACAAAAGACGCCATTAGGCTATCACACAGCTCGCCATCACAACACTGATAAACACTTTCGCACTAACACAAGTTCGCACCACACGCTGTCACACTAACACACAACACACTGTCACGCTAATACAATTTCACACAACAAAATATCAGGCTAACACGAGTTCACACAACACTGACTATCATGCTAACACAAATTCACAAACACGCTGTCTCGCTAACACAAGTTCACACAACACGCTGTCTTGCTAACACAAGTTTTACACAACACGCAGTCTCGCTAATACGAGTTCATACAACACACTGTCTAGCTAACACAAGTACACGCAACACACTGTCACGCTTAGATGAATTCACACAACACACTGTCACGCTAACATGAGTTTACACAACACGCAGTCTCACTAACACGAGTTTACACAATACACTGTCACGCTAACACGAGTTTACACAATACACTGTCACGCTAACACAAAGTCACAAAACAGGCTGTCTCACTATTCACTAACACATGTTCGCACCAAATGCTGTTGCGATAACACACTGTCATCCTCATACCATTTCACACATCACACTGTCATTCTAATACCATTTCACACAAAACACTGTCAGGCTAACACGAGTTCACACAACACACTGTCACGCTAACACGAATTCACAAAACAGGCTGTCTCATATTCACTAACACAAGTTCGCACCAAACGCTGTTGCGATAACACACTGTCATCCTAATACCATTTCACACAACACACTGTCATCCTAATACCATTTCACACAACACACTGTCAGGCTAACACGAGTTCACACAACACACTGTCACGCTAACACAAATTCAAAAAACATGCAATATCGCTAACACGAGTTCACATAACACGCAGTCTGGCTAACACGAGTTCACACAATATGCAATCTCGCTAACACGAGTTCACACAACATACTATCTGTCTAACACCAGTTCACACGACAAATTTTCAGGATAACAAGTTCACACAACACACTGTCACGCTAACACGAATTCACACAACATGCTGTCTCGTTAATAAGAGTTCACACAACATGCTGTCTCGCTAACATCATCATGAGTTTACACAACACGCAGTCTCGCTAACATGAGTTTACACAACACGCAGTCTCACTAACACGAGTTTACACAACACGAAGTCTCGAGAATTCGAGTTCAATCAACACTCTGTCTAGCTAACACGAGTTTACACAACACACTGTCACACTTACACTTTATACACGATTTCACACAACACGCTGTCCCGCTAACACGAGTTTACGCAACATATCGTCAAGCTAACAAGAATTCACACAACCCACTGTCAGGCTAACACAATTAAGTTCACAAAACACACTGCCTTGCTAACACAAATTCATACAACACACTGTCTCGCTAACACAAGTTCACACAACACACTCACATTGCTGAGTTTAAAGTAAAGGTCTACCCTAATTTGAAGAGGTTTAACACTAACATATCTCTATATTAGTAAAGAGCTTCAAATTTAAGACAAAAACATTTATGCAGTAATGTTCCTTAACATGCATCTGGCATATAAAATGAATGAGACCTTAAAAACCTCACAGTACATGTTTACTTAGCTAAGTAAAGGTCTAAATTGATGCTATTCAACAATATATATCAACATCTCTAAGTATGTGAATGAGTGAAATTCTCAAATAAATATTATAAATCAAAGTATCAATAAGAAGCTGAACCTTACGTCGCAGGTTCCAATCCCATTGCTAAATGCTTTAGACAGGTTACTCCTATGAGACTGCATAAACCAAGATTCTGTGTCACGGTAGGTGTTAGCACAAAATGGATCTCATACTTCTTAAAGGCAATAAGTGCTGAGTACAAGTCTATATTTGCAGCTAATACCATCCCAAGTGGTGGCACCATGAAATGACTGAAAAATGTATGATTAAGGCAAATAAACAAACATTAAACCATTACAGCAGTCTTATCAAACAAAAAAGCAAACTTTCTATGATTACAATTTTTTTAAACAAATTTCTTTTGCAATTTAACTGAGCAATATTTGTCCTTTTTTTGTCAGTAAAGTATGATATTAAATAATTAAGACTTTTTGAGAACATCTATTTATAGCGAGTCCAGACAGCAGCACAAATTCCTGCCCATGATGCGAGCTCTTATGATAAGACCTTGGCAAAAGAAGATTGTGACTTGCACATTGCTCCACACAATTTTTCCGCAGTGTACTTTGGACCCACGGTGCTTAGCTTCTTTAACATGTTTAAGCTACATTCAAAATTCATTTCTATTTAATTTGAATTAGCTATCCTTACTCATGTTCACATTGAGCTAATGGGAATAATTTAATGAGCAGTGAATTCATTCGAATTAAACATTTGAATAAACTCTCACTGTGAACACTGAGCATTTATGCACCAAATGTCAAATGCGGCTTGACAAGCACAATCTAAATTAAAACTAAATAAGTATCTGCCCTTACCCTTACAGTCACACTGTCAATATATAATTAGTTGAATATATTCTGTAACATTAAGTGCAGTTTGAATTATAGAGTATGATCACTATGATAGTTAGTAGGACTGTTGAAATTACATCCTCAAATTTAAAAAAAATAAAATATAAAGCTGTGGGGATTTACAAGGTAAACAGAGAGCGTCTGAACTGTAAAACAGATAATATATCGGTGTGTCTGTGTATTTCTAATAACATCAATGTATGTCACTGTCATGTAATCAGAGTGTAAATTTTAAGTAATAAAAATATTCTAACCTTCATTCCAATGGTCCAAGCCAATCATACATTAAAATGTCGCCGTCAGCTCTTTCATCACTCGATACAATTATCACTGGGGAATCCGAAGCAGAGTCAAGAGTGTTCATCCTTGTTAATGTGACAGTCAGAATTTCCTCGTAAACAATTCACACAAGATTCTTAGAATATATGAATCGGGATAATTCTGCTTAGAATAATGTTCCAGAGAAGTGACAAAGTACTTCGTATCTGCAGATTAAATGAGTGTACATGTCTACAAACGGATTCTTTGTGAGAAAATGTTCAACTTCACAAATCATTCTATTTTCAGTTTGTAAACCATGGCAAACATGTGTCCGACGTCGACTCGAAGGGGCACATTAAAAACGGGATATACTAGAGACCTGATATTTACCTGACGTTTTAATTTTTAATTAAATGGTAATATTGAGTATTTTAAATTACTTATTTACAGACTTTATGACTTCGAGGCATATGCTATACAAAAATTCAATTGTTTGGAACATTTACAGACAAATTTGAATCAGGTCAAATCAGTGTTTAGTACATCGCGTCTTTAGTACCTTCCTATTTCCCACAATGCCGCGCGTTGTTTACAAACAAGCGCGAAAAAATCCTCTAAACTAGGTACTAATTATTGTTGTGTACATCATCACATTTTAAAATTATTTGAATAAAAAGAAAACAAAGAAACACCGAATCAAAACTATATCTTTTAGATGCATCAACTAAAAATGTGCACATGTATGCAGTAAAGGCTTGGCTGGCTATAGTAGACAACTTGTTCCTGAAAGGTTTCTCACATACATGTACTTGTTTTATAAAAAAATCAATTAAATATAGCTGGAAGTTTATTTCTTTTTATATCAAATGACAAGATTTTATAAGTTCGAAATTATTTCAGTCAAACTTTTTCATAATATACCAATATTTTTAGCTATCAGAAAAAAGCGTGTATGAGCTATTAACCCCTAATTATAGGGGCCAGCCCCTTTTCATTAATCAAATATGAAAGCTCTCGTAATTACCCACAACTTTTGTTATATATTTCTAACCAAATTATTCTCGGTTTAAAAGTTATTACACAAAAAGTAGCAAAAATTCAAAGAAAAAAATTACTGAAATTTGCCGTTTTATAGCTTCCAAACTTTAGGAAATCAGCTTATAATTTTATCGTTCTGCACATCTACAATGTATTGGCTACAAGTTCTCCAACTTTCGTGTAAATATCTTACGTCGTTCTTGAGATTTTTAGTGGAAACGAGACATCAAAATTATCAATTAAAGGGCAATAACTCACAATTAAAGGCATGCATCAAAAAATTGAAAACAGGTGTAAATAGGTTTAATTACAAGGTATCTAACCTGAAAGTTTCATAAAAATCAGTCCAAAGGTCTTTGAGAAATCGCCTGTCAAAAATCGAACGGGAAAAAAAAAATAAAATAATAATAAGAAACAGTAGAATAACAGTAGGGTCTTCCGAAGGAAGCGGAAGACCCTAATAATAATAATAAGAAACAGAGTAAAAACAATATGTTCCCCAACTTCGTTTGGGGAACATAATAAGTATTTCATTCTACAGTGAAATATTCATTTCAATTGCACACGTTTGATACGTGTTTCTGATCTGATAATGTTTTGATGACGTTCGTGATATATTGGAGAATAAAGTCCTCGGCATTTCTTTTATCTCTGCAATGACCGTCACCGTAGAATTCTTAATGATTCATATTATATGAATACACGTGCACTGTTTCTTTGGTAGATAATAGACTTGAGTACATGTTACATTTCAAAATTGAATCTTCACGTCCTATAGACGTTCTTCACATAAACATTTATATAAATTTTGTACTTCCTTAACATAAGTATGGGCTATATTTTTATTTGTCAGAGACATTTTATTGCCAAAATTAGGTAAAAGTGTTCTCTTCAGGGTCCATTTTTTTTATTTATAAATAAAAAATATATATATGTCCAGTGCAAACATTTTATCTAAATACAGAGAGAGTACTTACATTCGATATACCTTGTCCTTTCCATTTCCATATTAAAAAGGAAGGGTACAAAATACTTCCTGTTTTCAAACTCCTTATGTGTAACAAACATTGAGACGATTAAGATGAGATGCTTTTTAAATCGTGCCTCTTCTGACGTCCTTATCACTGATATTCAAACAATACGTTTTTAAATGACTATTTATAACAGCTGTCAAGTAGATTCCACTTCTTTCCGGTGTTTAAACCCTTTGAATCAATTGAATAGCATATTTTCATGTAATAAATAAATGAATTATAAAATATTTAATTGTTGCAATACTTATCCTACTTTTCTACCATATACCATGACGAAGAAAACCCTTGTTTCATTGTACGATTCAAGCAAAGTCTTCATTTCTCCGCAGGATATTACAACGAGAGAAAAAAGATTGATTTATTTAAAAGCAGGTCATATTTGAAAAAAAAATAGTGATGACTGATAAAGATGAAATTGAACATGTTGAAGGAAACATATACCCGGTACTAAATGAAAACAAATATAAATTATAAAAAAAATTCGATGAAATTATTGTTTGGCAGCCTTATTTTCTCATTGTATTTCAGATTAAAAGTTACAAAATTGTAGTACTTGAGAAGTTTTTCCCGTAAAACTTCATGTAGAATCGCTACAATGTAGCTTGTTGAGGTAGCTCTAATGGAGCCTTTGCTCAAGGTTATGAAGTAGGGTGTAGATCCTCTGGCGATGTAAGGATCAACTCATTACTCCAAGAATTCCATTGTGGGACGTGGAGACCTGTTCATCGGAAGAGACCGTATAAACCGAGATCCTGTTCTACAGAAGATGTTAGAATGAAAAGATCATCCACTGCTCCGAAGCCGGTAACGCGGAGTATAGGTCTAAATTGCAACCCTCCACTGGCAACTGGTGTGGTTTCAATACGAGTGAAAAATTCTAGGAGACGCCCAATAAAAAAAAACGATAATTGCTTCACTTTAAGGTACATTGATACTCTGATAAGAAGGATAACTCTTAATGACATAAATGTTTATTATTCCTTTATAAATTTGCCAAGTTGAAGTGTCTTTTTTTGTCCATTTTGCCCCGAAGCTATGTTATAATTGTTTGTATTTTACTTATGAAATATATTTCTTTTGGAAAATCATCAAGGTTCAAGCAACTTTTATATGAGAGAGCAGAGAGTTTATGAAATATAATTATTGTATATACATGTATAACAAGTTTCAAGAATTTGTGACCAATCCTTTTGTATTAATTATTATGATTAATTAATACAATAAAATATGTTCAAAACAAATAAACGGACATCTTAAATTCATAATACTAGATAGCACTCTTTACAACTACTACATTGTATTACACGTAAATGGTAGACAATGGACAAAGATGAGCTTTTTATGCATAAAGTCTATAAAAAAAGCGTCCTTATTATTTACAGAGATTCTAGAAATTGAGATGAACCAGAATTTTGAAAACAGATTCAAACTTCGTGCCTTGGATAATTAACTATTTTTGATATCCGTTTACTATTTCTATTATATGCAGCTTTTGAGTAAAACTGGTATGAGGGGTAGGTCAAGGTCATTATTCAAATCAGCATCAGGGAAATTATGTATAATCGGGGACAATAGATAGATTAAGTATAATGAAAAGAAGGGGATATATAATGGATTCGAGATTGGATTCACTGATTTAATGATCGTATTTTGGGCATTTGCTGTAGACAAAACCTCCGTTAAAAGAAAATCACTGGTTAAACTAAAGGTACTGTGAGCAATGAGCTCACTAAATGATACAACCCCTCCTCTCATATGAATATAACGAACGTGTCTATGTTTTGCTATAGGAAACCCAAATATGTATTGGATCAAAAGGTAAAATAAGAGGTGCACAATGTCAATGTGTTATCAAGATTCTCTGAAAGTATCAAAAAATTTCTTTCAGTAATATAAGGGGAGTTGTTAATAAGAGATGGGTACCAAAAAGCGTAACAGACGGACGGACATCCAAATTAATATATACCCTCCCGTCATCATGATATGTGCTGGGAGGCAGTTGAATCGTTATTTCTTTCAATATTTAATAAATAAATGTTTCTTAAGTTTGAATGAAAGGTAACACACATTATAAATTAAATAGATATACACTATTCTAAATGCAACGGTGACCATTCTAAAAAAAATTCTTTAATTTTTTTCAGTGAAAAATAATCACTTGTCTAGCTGATTCTCTGACGTCATAATAATTATCTTCAGATACAGAAACGTCAGATTCCATATATCGTCTCCCAGTATACAGATTGCTGTAGTCACTTTCATCTATTTCACGATTTATGTTTCCATGGGCGTGGTCATAATTTTCAACAATATCAGAATTTTCTTCCTTTTCATGCAGATGATTGTATACGTTATTATTTACGTCAATATTTTCCGGTGAGTTTTTTATATCTTTTTGGACGTTTCTGTTATTCTGTGAATCATCAGAATGAGCAAAAGGTGGCACGTTTACAACTTTTCTCTGAAAAAATATTTCTCTTTTTTAAAGTAATCAAATTAAATTTAAAGTGGTAACTGTACGGTTTACAAAATATAGATTGTGTTGATATCTTAAAAAAAAATAAAAGGTAACAGATTCTTAAAAAAAGTATCAGAAATCCAAAATATGAATTTTCTAAAGACAGGTTTGTGTTAATAATGCAGTAATCCAAACATGACAGTTAAAATAAATATTTGTTCACTCAATTTTCATTTAATAATACTCTGTTCAATTATTTCTGAGAATGTTTTACCAAAACACAATTATGATTTAATATTTTAACCCAATGCAAAAGACCAAAGTACCAGCAGAGAGGGTCAACTTGACTTTTACATAATGTGTATAATAGTGCATACATGTATTTCTTACCTCATTTATACGATGTTCGGTAAGATTGTTTTGAAGCACGTCTGTTTCAGTCTCATAAGTAGCATTATTAAACACTGCAGCCCTCGAATTGTCTCTATAAAACATCAAATATAGTTGAATATAAATATAAAGGAATGTGGTGTTAGAAATAATACGGTGGCATATTACTGCCCCCTAAATGCAAGATAAATTATGTTCACATGCAACATAGTTATGTAAATGCAACATATCTATGTCAACATGCAAGTTAATGATGTTCATAAGCAAGTTACCAATCTTATAAGAAACCATAATTTACATGTAATAATGGGTAAATTTACTTACTAACGCCCATATCTGACATTGCAGATGCAAAATACATCATAAATTATGTAGACATGCGATTTATTTATGTTAACATGCAAGATAAATATGTCATTATGCAATATGAATGTATCAACATGCCAGATACGTTTGTTGATATGCAACTTATTATCTTACATGATTACATAAATATCTTGTATGTTTAAATATAAATGGCATGTAAACATAAATAAGTTCAAGCATGTTAACATAAATAAACCTCATGTTGATATTAATATCTTGCATATTAACATATATAAGTCGCACGATGACATGAAAAGATCGCATATTGACATAATTAGTCGCAAGCCTAGATAATTATATTTCATATTACATTTGAGATGTCAGTTTCGTGCTTCAGTGCGGGATTCAACCCATATAAAAATCAGATTCTCTGAAAACAAGTTGTTACTTGCATGTCAATATTATTATCTTGCATCTCAACATGATTATTTTGTACGTTGACATATAATAATCTTGCATGTGAACATAATTTATCTTGCATATGGGGGGAGGGGTCAGAAATATGCCACCATAAAATGAAGATTTCAAACACAGTGTCAAAGTTGAATATAGTCACTGAAATATTTTATACTTGGTTTTCAATTTTCCATATCGAATATGTTGATAGATGTTCCCTACTACAACAGTAAGAACGATGCCTAAGATAAGGCCGCCAAAAACAGCTCCAATTGTCACACTGACAGTATTCTCTTCTGCAAAGAATAACACAAACTAATTAATTCATAATATGTTCATTGTAAGTCCTTTAAAACTTTGTAAACTTTATCAATGGACAGAAATATTTGATTTTACGTAAATACAGTTTCGATTCATTTCCTGTTTATTTATAACTTTGATTTTCAGAATTAAATATTTTTAAAAATATATAAATTATCAATTTCAGCCAACATAAGCAAAACATATAGGTCTCTAGAAATTGTTTTTCTTCAGATCAGACGTATTGTAGGTGTGATAATAGAATTTAGAATACCTTTTTGGTCTTGGATAATTGCTTGTAGATTGCCATCTGAGTGCGCTGAAATTATCTAGATATCTTAGAATTATACTCGTAATATTTTGCGACATTAAATAAATACGAGAGAGCCCTGTAAGCACAAAGGCGTTCTTCCTTTTGGCGGAACCTTGACATGGCTCTACAAATTTGTATTAAATACATCTGAATTACAAATCATTTTGGTATAATTGGGAAAAGTGTGTTTTTCTACTATCATTCCCTTTCATTATACAGTATTTTGAACATTGCCTATCTAGGTGTACTGATTTTCATTCTTAACTAATAAAATAACATAAGAAAGGTTGATTTATTTTTATTACATATTGTTTTCCTACCATTCGAGAATGTTTCACTCAACAGATAAACAAATATAATCAATGTCTATATAAGATATATACAATTGATTAAGATAACTTACTTTGAAAACATTCTGAATATTGTCGAACATATCCAGGCCTGCAAACACATGTGCCATTCAAACAAACAGAACCAAATGCCACAGAACACTGCTCATCTCGCTGGCATGTTTCGTTTAGTTTCAAGTTCCCTTATTAGCAATAATTATGTTATTTCATTTAATTTGAACTCATTGATGCTTTTTTCTAACACTGTGTACAAATAGTCAAAAATGTTTTGAACATATCCCTTTTTCCAGAGTTTGAAAGAAAATGGACAGATATTAACTGTATAGATATATCTTTGTGCGTTGCTTGTACTCACCCTGTAAACATTTATTTTCGAATCCTATGTACCCAGGTTTACATATACAGATTCCAATTTGTCCTGTTAATAAACACGTCTTG